ATCCATGATACGGTTCGCGAAACGGCACGCGACTGTCTCTGGTTGCTTTAAACGACCAACATCTATTTACGTTTCTTCTTCGTGCGACCGGTTGAACCATCACGACAAGCAATGGTTAGCGTGGCGAACGTTGAAAGCGATCTGACCTCCGTGAGTTGATCGTTCTGGTTCAAAGTTTCCCCATCGATCTGTACTTTGTCGTTAATCTTTCTTCTATCGGCTGCGTAAAAATAAATCGATCGTAGTCGAAAATCGGCTGTATATAGCACAAACTTGCAAACAAATTGAAGAAGTGAAAGTCAATTTTGGCAATGTCTATAATATATTACTTAAATAAGATGATAGTTTATGACATAAATCATGTAAGTTTTATAATTATTTATTTAATTATGTAAAATTATATACTCACAAAATTATTAAATCATATAGAATATTATTTTAATATTAATTTTATTTTTCGTAATAAATTTTGTAATGAGTTTAAAATGTTTCTAAAATTAAAACTATGAATCCGGATTTGTTAATGCATCAATTTCTAAATCAATTAACATAATTAATTTATTGAATTACTTGATTATTCAAATTTGTGAATGTATTATTTTAGATTCAATTTATCATATAAATAATAAAAATACAAAAAAAATAACAGTAAATCATAATATTAAATATTAAAATAAAGTTTCCTTAAAATTAATTTAAAAAGTGCGATTTGCAATCTAATTCATTTTTCGATTTATAAATAAAAAAAGCTTCAAAGTTTATTCAAGTTTGCTAGGAAATTTATCGTAAAATTGAGACACATTTTTAAGACAGTCCGCGCTCGTTCTGGTTCTTAACCCCGAAAACTTTCGTCTGTGGCAAATACACAATGGGTGAGATTTCCTGTTGCTACGTGATTTTTATGGCCGCACAGTTACCTTCCGTGACACCGTATAATGAAAGCCATTGGTCGCTTTAGCTTTTACCTATTTCTTTTTTCGAAACAGTTCCTCACAGACAAACACATGAACGAACGCACGAGTGCTCTACCATCCGGAATCGTCACGAAAATAGAAGAAATCACGACATTTGATATATGGTCGGTTGAAATTAAACTTATATAATCGATATCTTGTATTTCTCTGCTTACAATAAAGATGCACTTTTTCTCCACATACTATATGTGATATATAAAATAATATTCCAAGAATTGATAGAGAAAATAATACAAACTAAGCATCTTTAAAGAGATAAATGACATACAATAACATCTGTATTTTTATTTTTGTTATTTTTTAAAATGATTAAAATGATTAAACAAATACCATTATAAAACTGATTGTGAGCCAACTGTATGATTAAAATTATGTTGGCAAAGTTTTATAATGATATTTATGTATATGATTATTATATTCTCAAAAGTCAAACGCGGTTTTTCTCAAATAAATTTTATGACTCATATACAGCAGCCGAGTTTATAAAAAAAATGCACAAAAAATGTTTATATACGAAATAACATTGAACAAGAATAAAAAATACGTAGGCAGAAAAAGCGAATAAAGATAGAAGCAAGGAAAAATTATGATATCGATTTCTGATGAATGTCATCTGGTATCAATATCCCGTGATCAATATCTTTCGATTTCAGTAACTGAATCTGTTATTACTCGAACAATTTTTAATATCGATATAAGTAAAGGTACATCGTATCGGTTGGTTGAGACGATTACGCAGGTAGCGGATTCTCATTCTCATAACACTGGTGACATAATCGCGGATCATCTTGTCCCAGAATCCTAAACATTACTCTAGGAGATGAGAGTGGCATGCGCTTTACAGAATAATATTTCCGCTCGTTTAAAACGGTATTTATTTTGGATGTTGTTGGCGGACATAAACGTCCGACAAACACATCATACAAAATTCACTTTACGCGATGCAATTTCAGATATTTTCGAAAGCGAGAATACGTTTAGTGGACTTTTTCATGCGCATCACGCCTCGAACGGCTGAATTTAAAATTAGAAATGATACAAACGCGAGCTTCTTACAAACGGTTGAAATTACACACTATATTAAATGATGTCGTATTGTAAAACAACTCGAATGAATCATACGAATAAAGATCAATTCTTAACTTATTCTAATCATCCTCTTGTAATTATATTTGCGAACCAGTATTATGATTATAATATAAAGTTATACATACTTTAGTTATATCATTTTCCATCTTTATTTCAAAAGTCTCAAATATTATATTAGAATTATTGAACAAATAATTGTTATATTTGAAGTAGTAATTTTTGAACCATTTTTGAAATATCGGCTATTACATATAAAATTATTTAAAACAGAAAAAAATAACAGTAACATTTATTTATTTCTCTAAATCTCTTGGGACATAATTCTTATATAAAATATATATAAAATATTAACATCTTAATTTTGCTCGTTTATTGGTTTATTGCTATTTAATTTGTTTTGCTGTGTCAAACAATCGAGCGATTCTATACTATAATTTGTTATAAAATATTTGAGTTTTTATAGAAAATGTTAATTTGCTATAAAAAATTAGATATTAAAAACTGCTTGAAGGAAGGTCATTTATCATTACAATTATCTTATTTGTAATGAAAGTTTTTATAGTATATTATTATCTTTTAAAAAATTAATTGGTCGCTAATAAAATCTGTGCTTTACATGATCTCACTTTTGACATTCAGTGTAGCGCAGGCATGAAAGTGAACCCTCGAAAATTGTAATCAAATGCATCGCAGGCACTACATCTCACGTGTGTTTTGCCGAACGATTTACCGTAACCATGACACTCACGATGAATGGTAATGAGAACGCGTGGGAATATCCTGCCTTTCCAATGTTACTGGACTGCACCATAACGCAATGTGGTCTGCAACTTTCGCCTACGTGATTACGATTAAACATCTACCGCGGATAAAGTAACGATAAAAACCGATGATAATAGTTTCTTACAGTTCCTCATATATCGCGACAGTTCAATAGGTCAGTATTCCTCATCTAAGCTGCTAAAGTATGTTAATAAATTCTATAAATTTTCCTTATTCCGCAAGAACGTTCTAATAATTCTTGTATATTTGAGATTATATCGCCTTTAACGTATTCTTATCTTTAATACGTGCTATATTTTCATTAATCTTATCGAAAAGAGAATTCGCAACGTAATATTAGGTTAAGTAAAAAGTCATCGCGTTTTTTTAAAAGACATCTATCAGTAAAAACCGCAATTACTTTCTTACCAACAATATAAATATATCTTGATAGAGTAAAGTTTCAGCTTTAAAAATCTCTTTTTTAAATTATACGATACGACAATTTTTAATGGAGTTATGAGCAATTAAAGTCAAAATAATTCTTTTATTTAATCCGCGATAACTCAGTAATCAAAAGTCGTAGGAATATTTAAAAAAAACGATTTTGTAGGGAAAGTATCAAGCTTTCACGATAGGTAATCGAAAATTTTCTCAAATTCGTTTTGGACACGTTACAAATCCACAAAGTGAGAAGAAAATTTTTCGTCTTTTTCAGCTCGTAGTTTTTGGTATGTAAAAATTATCAAACTCATATAAACTTAAAAAATGTGATAAGCTTTTAAAAGTAGAGATTTCAAGCTTTAAAACCCTTTTTTTAAATTTGAATTTCATTCATTATTGACGAAGATATTGTATATACAACTTTGAGCTAAAAAATACGCGATGACTTTTTACTACACCTAATATAAAGAAAACTCGTGTAATATCTTCTCGAGCAGAATTCAACTGCAAATTTATTAAACTTGCACGCCCATATTTTCCAATTTTTATATCTACAGAAAAATTAACGCGCGAACTTATGTCAAGAAGTCCGATTTATGCAGCCTTTTTGCAAATGTGAGATCAAACGGAAGAACAAACTTCTGACGATTCCTTGATTCGTAAATCAGAGGCACAACGTAGAATAAAGCAACGTGTTTTCGTTAATTACCCAGTAATTTTTTTGTAGCTTACAGACTGGACGTAATGTGTATGCATTACGACACGAAGATATAATACGCCGCGATGAGGCCACGTGAAAGATTCGATGAAAAGAAACATTGTTTCAAGGCAACGATGTTAGTATCTGCTGGTGACATCAAAGCCGTTTTATTTCGGGAACCGCAAATTTTTGCTTCCAGGAACCAATGTCATTTCGTAAGCGGATGTGTGTGTCGGCGAATAAAAAAAATCTCAATAATATGCACATATTAAATGTTATGGTCCGGGATATCTTTATTGAAAGATAAACATCGTCCTGGCCGGCATTTTTTCATACGCGGAAATAGATAAATTATTAAAATAGAGAGAGATGCCAGGGAGATATGAGATATTTTTACCAAATTTTTTCAATTGCTCCAAAGAAAATAATAAAGAATATAATAAAGCAGAAAAATACGTGAAATGAATTCTTGAGCATTTTCTAAAGAGTTTATAAAGTTTCTACGCAATGGAGCACATTCGTCAATCATATTCGACTTGTTTGTCGACTTGTATGATTAGTTTTCCTTCCTGTCGAATCGCGTTAAGGACGTGCATATCGCACAAATAATTTACGTGACAGTTTAATGTTCGCTTCGCGATCATGCGCTTGTGAATTTATACTAGTTGCACATTCATTATCGCGCGTGTGCCTTGTAGTGCGACGTATACAGCACCATAACTGGTAAGATATAGTAAAGTGACGGCAGCTTTAAAAATAAAACGGCGCTAATGTGTTTCGCATAATCCTTATAATTGAACTCGACGATTCGCAAATGCCCACAAGCAATCGTAAACACTGTTCGATATGCTCTTCTTCAGCTCAACATTCATCAAATATATATAGATATCTGAATGAATAATTTATATCCGTTCTTTCAGAAACATATGTCGCAATATTGCAGCTCTTTAATTTCACGAAAATGTATTTTCTTCGAATTAATTTACAGCGCAAAATTAATATTTGATTCTCGTTTTTTTTTTTTCTTTCAGACGAACAAGAACGCGTGCAAAAGAAAACCTTCATAAATTGGATCAATTCTCATCTGTCGAAGGTAAGTGTGTCAAGAAAAAATACTTTTGTCACCTTCAGAAAACGCAATGAAACAGATATTCATATATGGCAAATAGTATTTTGATATCGTGCTCCAAGTCGTGCTCCGTTTCACCGCCAGGTACTTGATAATAATGAACGAAAAATACAACGGCAGTTTGCGATGGGTTGACTCTCGTTTTTTTGTCTCATTCGAAGTTACGTAACGCTCTCGATCCTTACGTGACGCATAATAAAACATGACGCGGACTGCCTCTCGTATCGTGCTATCGAAACTTGAACGGCTGATCTAGCCCGTACCTGGCTCTTGAGTTTCGATGCTCCCCTACTTCCGCATCCTTCAGAACTTGCCTTACTGCGGAAACCCAACTCGTAACATGTATGCATCAAAGGCAACGAAGTTATTGAAGGCGAATACCTTGTTCGTCCTCGTACCAAATAGCTATTTCAGTAAAAAAAATTATATATCATCAAATAAAGAACAAGTAACATTGATCTGTGACGTGGCGCGTAGATCAATTCAAAAATTAAAGTGAAAACAGTAAAAGTTTAGTTTATAGTACAAACTGCCAGTATTCAGTCAGTATACTGAATTTATTTGAAAATTATATCATCTGCAGGCATTAAATATTAAAAATTAAATAATTAAAGTATTAAATAAACTACGTATATAACATTAAATTTCGCATATGCGGCAAATTTTATCATCGCTAAATATATGTAATTAATGTTTTTAAAAAAAATTTACCCAATAATTTTCTTACTCATATATTTGATGAATATATAATCGTGATTACGCAGTTGGTAAATATTTCTTTTCCATAGAGAGTTCCTCCGCTTCGTATCGATGATTTAATCGAGGATCTCAAAGACGGCACGCGTCTTCTCGCCTTACTCGAAGTTCTTTCAGGAGAGAAACTGGTAATGAAATATTTGCGTTGACATTTGTAAAAAAAAAAAAAAACATTAAAAACCAGTTGTCTAAAACATGCGTGATCTTTCAGCCTGTAGAGAGAGGCCGTAATCTAAAGAGACCGCATTTCTTGAGTAATGCCAATACTGCGTTGCAATTTTTACAAGGCAAGAAAGTGAGTACTTCTATTAATTTAATCGACAAGTTGAAAAAATCGCGACAGCCAATTTCTATATTTAATATTTTTACAGATCAAATTAGTGAATATAAATTCGTCTGATTTGGTTGACGGACGACCGCCGGTAGTATTGGGCCTAATATGGACTATCATTTTGTATTTCCAGGTATTATATCATTCGAATATTTTAGTTATACTTAATGATCATTTTTATGCAAAAAAGCACCAGTATACTTAGTATGCGGTAGCTGCTTAAATATAGCGCTCGTATCACGTATCAAAGTACTTCAAACAAATAGCAGCAGCACCACATTCTTATACGCCGCAACAAAGATTAATTTATGTTTTTTTAATTTTCTTGTTTAAGCTATAACAATCGTAGTAACTCATCTTACCAATTATAGTTGTAAAATTTAATTCTAAGATATATTGAAAATTACATAATTTTGTTTTAACAAAGTAAGTTTTAAATTATGTGAATTATGGTAAGAAGTGACTAATGCTTTTTCTACAAATTGAACAGTCATGACTAAATGTCATCGAATAAATTAATCTTCGTTGCGAGTAAAGTAAATTATGTCACTTTGCTAACCGTATGTATTTCAATAAACAAGCTACGATCGAAGGATCGCAAGCGGGTGAGTAGTAAAAAAAGCAAAATTGTGAATGCGATGAATGATCTTGATCATTCTAAAAGAGTAAGACGAATCGCACCGGCATGATGTTGCGCATTCTATTAGTACGCACGCTAGATTATCTTTAGGCTCGACAAGGAGAGGAAACATCATACCAGTCCTCGGAATTTTTTTTTAGATCGAGGAGAATACTAGAGCCCTCGAGTATCTTGGACAAACATGGGGCAGTCAGAGCAGCCTCGAAAGCCTTGGCACTCAGGGCTCGGCGGCAAGCGAAAGAAAACGCATCAGCAGCGAAAAGTGGAAGCAAAGTGCACGGAAAACCTTGCTTCAATGGGTCACCAATGCCTTGCCGAAGTCAGTACTCTGTTAAATTATTATTTGTGTAATAGATACAACTACATGAATTTTTTTAATAATATTATGTCGGGGTGGATTTCTTAGGGACGTTGGTATTCAAGTTCGAGACTTTGGAGAAAGTTGGAGAGACGGAAATGCTTTCTTAGCCATTATCGATGCCATAAAGGCTAATTTAGTAAACATAGCAGCTATGAGAGAAGCGTCGAACAAAGCTCGGCTAGAAACAGCCTTTCAGGTTGCTGAGATCGAACTAGGTATTGCCCGATTGTTGGATCCTGAGGACGTGGACGTACCGCAACCCGACGAAAAATCAATTATGACATACGTTGCCCAATTTTTGCACAAATATCCAGAACCAGGAAACACAGCTCCTGATTCTTTCGCGGCTATACAAGAAGAATACGACAGTCTTCTTAAATGGCTAAATGAGAGAGTCAGGCATCTCGAACAACTTGATAGAACAAATGCCTATCCACAAAGTTACCCGGTACTTTCATAATCAGATCTCAACAGATATCTTTACTTCATATCATAAATCTCTAATTTTAATATTTTAGTGAAATCATTTATGTGATTCCACTTTAATCATTAATGTTTGGAAAACCGTAATATTTTGAGATTTAAAAAAAGATAAGAAAATAAAAATAAAAATATATTATTCTTTATATTCTTTTTAGGAATATACGCTGTTTAGAGCAGAGACTGATGAGAAATCAATTATATATAAAAAGATGCAAAGTTTGGTCGATACACCTAGTATGATAAGTATCACACGAGATTCTTGGAGACATATACAAATGTTGTGGCAACAAATGGAACTCTTTGTAGGTTTCGAAATCTATTTCAACTTTTTGTAATTTTTCTAACTGAACGAATAGAACCTAACGTTGCAGAAATTTCTTTTTAAAAAATATAATTTTTCTCCAGATGCTGCATTGGCTTTGGCTACTTGATTCAGCGTTACCGGGAGAATTAGGAGAAGTCGGTAAATGGTTAGCAAGAGCTGAAGCTCTCTTATACTCAGACAATAATATACCACAAGAAATGTCAGAAAGCACGGCGAATATAATCTCGAATAAGTTGGAAGATCATAAAAAATTTTTCCTCGATTTACCGACAATGATGGAGAAATTCCAACACGCCAAGAACTCGCCGTTGGCGCGACAAGTCCGACCAGAACAATTAGATAACATGTCTACACGCTTCGATAGCTTGCCTGATCGTGCCGCTAAAAGAAGGGTGAAATTAAAGTTCTTAGAACACAAATGTTGTTTGATTGCTTTCCTATATCTCGTCGAGACCAAATTGAAAGGCTGGAATATTAAATATGGCACAGAGCAGAAAGTGCATCAGATGTTGGAGCAATATCGTAACTTTGTTTCCCGAAATAGAATATTCCAGGAATTTCAAAAGGCTTACTTGGATATGCAGCAAGTGGCAGAAGAATACAAGCGTGACGTCGATATTGGTAAATAAAAATATAATTTAAATAATTAAATAATTAAAGTAATTTTAAATAATTAAAATAATTTTCAATTATTGGTTGATATTCACATTTAAATGTGATAGTCAATAATAAATTTACTAATAACACAAAGGATTACAATTAAATATGATTATATCAAATAAAATAATTAAATAGTAACTAGTTAATTCAAATATAATTAAATTAATTTTATTATATATTAAAATTCCTTAAGTGTATAAACAATAGCTTTAGACTCATCGAAACAGTATCATAAATTCGTGCTTTTTAGATCGAGAAGAGAGCCTCAACGTTGATCGTTTTATGCGCGAGACGGCCGAAAAATGGAAAAACGTGTCGATGGATTTGCGCTGCGTCCAGAGCATGCTCGAAGAAGTTGTCGCATATTGGTATCGTTGGACCATTGTCTCAGATGAATTCGAAGCATGGCTACTTCGTGCTGAACCTGTCCTGAATCTCCCAGAGGAGGAAAGAATGGAGTTCTTTCAAGATATCAGCGTATGGAAAGATAAGCATCAACAATTGTCGGACACTGTAAGCTTTCTAATTGCCACATCCGATGAATCGGTAGCATTTCGATTGAAGGAGCGTTACGCGAATCTGACGGCGAGATGGGAACAGCTCTTCCAAGAGGCCAAACAGTACATGCATGCGGGTGATCTCATTCGAACGAGAAAGGATTACAAGGCGGGAGTAGAGACTTTGCAGAATTGGTTAAGAGATGCCGAGGCTGCTTTATCGACTACCGGATTAAGCTCCACCGAACGGATCAAAGCTTACGGAGAGAAACTGCAGACTCTTCACAATGAAGTCGAGGACATTGAAAATCTCTTTAAAAATATCAGTAAAAAATTCCAAACTCTTATCCAGGATTTGTCCCGCGACGAAGTCGATAAGATGATGAACACACTAAAGAAAGAGAAAGAAACTCTTGTTAAGGTACGCGCTTTGATACCGATGCAATTGCACTTGTATCATCAATTATTGGTACAACAAGAATCTCTAGAAGCAGGGCAGAAAGAGATATCTGCGTGGCTAGATGAAGCCGAAAGTTTTTTGGCAAATATCAATCTCGCAGGTGGTAGAGACGCTGCTTTGGCTCAACTAGATCGTCATAAAGCCTTCTTCTCGAGAACACTTTACTATAAATCTATGCTGGAATCTAAGAATAAAGTATTCGCTAACATCGTCAAGGCTGTGGATAGTCATGCCGACATAGAGACTGCCGAAGGTGGAGCTACCTTAAGAGAACTCAATGATCGATTTATTAAAGTCTCTCAAGCGGCGCAAGTCTGGGAACAACGTTTGCAAGAATCTGTGCGCCGTTGGACGAAATTTAAAGAGTGCGAGCGACAAATCTCTGAATGGCTTTCGATTGCGGAAACAATGATCAACGAAAAGCACATCGATAATCGTCAATCCGTCGAATATCACAAAAACTTCTTCGGTAAAGTCAATGAAAAGTGGATACAAGATCTCGTAAAGGCCGGCCAAGATCTTCGGAATGTATTACCAGTTGATCAACAACTTCCCGTTGCAAAAACGGTAGAGAATCTTCAGGATCGCTGGAAAGAAATACTCACCTTTGCGCCGCTTCATCTAATGAAGCTCGAGTTCCGCCTAGATGAGACTAGCTTTCTTCAATATCTCAAAGAAATCGAGATGGAAATTAGTTCTGAGCAACAAGCACTTATTAACAATGATGATGTGGATGGTATTCAACAGCGCAATAAAGAATTTTTCGTAAACCGCGGCACCGTTCTCGAAGTCGAGCGTTGTCTACAGACCTTAAAAAAGATTAGTGATGCTTATAACAAATTCAAGCCGAAAGATACTAGCTTGGTTGACGCCGCGCAAAACGCCGAACGTTTGTGGGAAGAAACCGCTCAAAAAGTGGAGAACTTAAGGGAACAATTGCGAGAAATTCCACAACAATGGGCAACTTATAGACAAAAGTGAGCATTTATTTAACTTCAGTATAGTAGATAAGTATATTCAGTATAATAGATTAGCGCCAATTTCTTCCTTTAAATAATGTGCAATTAATTCTAGGTTCGATGAGATGGTGCATTGGATGGACCATGTTGACAGTACGTTGAGAACCATTTTACATGAAGTCAATACTTTAGAAGAATTTGAGAAAGAGAAGACTATATTTCAGGTTAGTATTGGCCAGTTTCACATATAATCCTCTATCATGGCATGTCGTGTTGAAATATTTAAATACTTTGCTTCGCCTTTTCTGCGTTGCCTCCGGATAGCTCCAGACCTTGACGGTAAATATACGCGCACTTCTATGTTTAATTATTCTTTTTAGAGTTTGCTCTTCGTTTAAGAGTCCAATGATAATACTCTTAAAATAAAATTTTTAATAAATACGGATTTAATTTGCATCTAATTTATCCATAAATATTAATCTATAATTATTAAAAAATTTTCTGGAAAAAACAGTACTTTTGTTTATCATGTCTTTTTCATCTCTTTCATCAAATGTTGACAAATCGCTTTAGATAAATATAATTAATATAAAAAAATATTATTGATTGTTCACAGAAAATCTGTCGCGAAGCTGATAGCAAGCGTGAAGAAATGAAATGGCTGGTTCAAACTCTCGACAACTTGACATTGAATCGTTCGGATCGCGAAGCACTCACGGCGCAGCAAAATTTGGAGCAATTGATAACTCGATATAAGAACTTGATTCCAACGATCGAAATTACAATGACGAAGACAGACATCTATTCAAAAAGTTATACTTATCGCAAAGAGGTACGCGAAGTATGCACTTTGTTGCGCAAAGTTCGCGAACAATCAAAAGTTGAAGTCACGCCTGAGGTTCCTGAAAAATTACAAAACGCGGTGGCTCATCAGGAATCCCGCCTTAATCAATTAGAGCAACAACGAGCAACCATTGTCAGTATGTTACAACGCGGTAAAGATCTTCTGAAAGATCAACACGCTCCGCCTTTCGTCTCTTCCGAAGTTCAACAATTAGAGGCTAACTGGAATGATACGTATGGCCAAAGCATGGAGATATTAAAATCTTTAAAGGAATCGCAAAAACTCTGGAACACTTATCAAGAACAAAAGAACGAGATTTTGAGATTGATTGAACAAGCTGAGAAAGAATTGCGTCAAATTGAATTAGCATCTTATTACGATGCCGCTCAAGTATCCTCCGACCTGCAGAAGAAACAGGAATTCAATACAAATTTGAGAAAATCAGCCGAAGAAATGATAACGAAATTGCGTGAAACATATACTAATCTTTCTCAAACATCCGCACCACCAAGCAAACAAGAGATTCTAGAAAAGGAAGTGACGGAAACTGAACAGAAGATGGAACACACGTTAAAGATTGTGCGCGAAAAAATTGTTTATCTTCAGGAACATAGCACTCGGTGGAATAAATTTCAATCAAAGCTCGTAGAGCTCCGGTCTTGGGTTCAGCAAGCTGCGCCTCAATCAGTTGCAAACATAGAAGATTCTACAGCATCACCTGAGGAAAAAGTTCGTAAAACGGAAAATCTACAGAAAGAAATCAAGGAAAAAGTATTGATTTTAAATGCATTAGAAGACGAATCCCGGAAACTTGTAAAAGGTGAATATACGATTTTTTTGTTTGTTTCATGTTTGAATTAAAAAACGTACAAATTTAGTTTTTCTGTTACTTAATGTTTATTTTTTATATGTTATAGCTATAATTTCTAGATATGAAATTTCTATCATAT